GACGTCGACGAAGGAGATGATGTCGATTCCCGAAGGACGTCGAACGGGACGAAAAGGAACGGCGACGGTGGATCGAAAGCCGCGGCGGTGGGAAATGGCACCCTAACGCGCACCCAGCAGGAGCGAAAGTTAAAACACGGGGTTTTCGAGGCCAAACGCGGAAAACGCGAAGACGGCATGAAGACTATACGCACATAGACCGCTCCTTAATACTTCCATTACGTACCCAGGTCACAATCGCCATCATACCAGACAGCTACTGGACACGGCTGGTATGCCTATATGAACTCAAACGTGGCACCGATGACTTGGGTACAGAAGAACTTTCGCAAAACCCAACGAGGTAGCTCACCATCTCCAACAATTACAAACCTAATAGACTAATTATCCGTACACCGCTCGCTTAGTCCCGGAGTCTGAGATCAACAACTTATGTTATCAGAGTACAGATATGACCTAACTAACTTGTAGCTAGGAATAAGATAGCAAGAAGCGAAAATAGATCAAGAACTATCAAGCGATACACCAACACACCATTGGTTAGATTTATAGAAATTAAAATGATAAATAAAACTTACGATATTGAATTATTTAACAGAGCCTACGATACGTACGTCCCACCAAAATCCTCTAATTACAAATAATCCCATAAAGAACAAGATAAGTAAGCTCACGGTTATAATGCGTCAGATAAAGAAGCTTATAAATGTAGTAAATATGCAATAGATCAGAGAGTGACTAGATAGATGTAATTAGGAAATCAAGATAAATGGTGTCTGTGAGATCCATCGTTTAACACTATTATTTATTTAAAAGCCTTAACTATAAATTTACACTCGTATCGATAACAACATAGAAGATAGAATACACAGCCTCGAAATAATTTATCTATTTTACATTTTATCCACCACCTCTCATACAATATCAATAACTACTCAACAAAGCCTGGTCCTAAAATAAAAAAAAAAACGGTAAATATACCGTATAAATAAAATAACAGCCCAAATCTATCAGCATATATATAGATAGCAAAATGATATGCACTACTCATCTGACTATACCTCAACTTGAATGAACTTAATTAAGTCTATCATCTGGCATAACCAAGACCTGTATATAATACTGCCCGATTACTCGCGAATTAGACTACGCAGAGCCACTACGTGCAGAAAATACTCCAGAAAAGTATAAAGAACCACCCACTAAATACAACAAGTGGAAGGTTACTCATACATAGTATATATGTAACCTAGACATACGAGTTTTGATAGAACTGATAACGTATATATTATTAATGTAATCATAGCGCCTCGCCCCCCCGATGAGAGATAAATATTTCCTTGCTTCAGATTTATAGCATTTAAAGATCTATTGGAAGCGGTGATAGGTATATAACATGAAATATAGATATAAATGTAAGTCACAAATTAGAGTGGAATACATATATATAAGTATAAAACCTAAGAAATAATTGAATACATAGAGTCAACGTGAAAATATGAAGGTGCAACCCTCAAATTGGTCCCATCTGTAATACAAATAAACAAGAGTAATACAGATGCACCTCAACCTGAGATTTGAATACTAGCATTAAATATAATCCTAAATCCTAGAAATCTCTTGATCTCAGTCAGGTCTGGGATAGCGCGGGGCGAGGACGCCTGTGGCACACCTCGCCGCGTCAAATCTGCGTGTGTCGCCAACTAAATCCGTGATGCCCCTCGTCTGCCTCGTATGCCCGTTTGCCCCTTCAAGTCACATGGATCCACCTGGGTGACCCTCTGGCGTGGGGACGCTCCTAACAGCGCCCTATCAACCGCAGCTCCTTGTCGCCCAGCTCCAGGACCCAGATGGGTAGATGGGAGCTTGTGGTGGGCCGGGGGCCCTTTTTGTAATAGTGTGGTTTTAGGAGGTTTGGAAAGGGGCGGGGTTGGGTTATACTGTTGGCTGGAGTGAGAGGTATTTGTGTTGTTGGTTTTAGGGTTCTTATAGACCAGTGTTGTTGGGTTATATTGTTAGCGTGTGTAATGAAAGATATTTAGCGTCTGTATGCGTTTTTGTATATTGTGGTTTTAGGGTAATTGTTGGGTTATACTGTTGGTGGTAGTTAGAGGTATTCAGGGGTCTGTGTGTTTTGTTTGTTGTGGTTTTAGGGTTTTTTGTAAGGCGGTGTTGGTTAGTTTGTTGTTGGTGTGTAATGAAAGATATTTAGGTCTGTATGCGCTTTGTATATTGTGGTTTTAGGGTAATATATAGGGGTAATTGTTGGGTAATACTGTTAGTGTGTAGTTAGAGATTTTCAGGTCTCTGTGTGTTCTGTTTGTTGTGGTTTTAGGGTATTTATAGGGGCGGGTGTTGGGTTATACTGTTGGTGGGTAGTTTGAGGTATTCAGATTTCTGTGTGTTTTTGTTTTGTCGTGGTTTAAGGATTAAGGGATAGTAGGCGTGTTGCGAAAAACTGGTGTAATCAGAATTATTCAGGTTTCTGTGAGCTTTGTTTATTGTGGTTTTAGGGTTTTTGTAGGGGCTGGTGTTGGGTAATAATATGTTTGGTGTGTGATTAAGAGATATTCAGGTCTGTATGCAGCTTTGTTTAGTGTGGTTTTAGGGGATTAAGGGGCAGGTGTTGCGAAAAATGGTGTAATTAGAATTATTCAGGTCTGTGAGCTTTGTTTAGTGTGGTTTTACGGTTATTATAGGACCGGGTGTTGCGTTAATACTGTTGGTGTGTAGTTAGGGATGTTCGGGTCTCTACGTGCTTTGTATATTGTGGTTTTAGGGTTATCATAGGGGGTGGGTGTTGCGTAATACTGTTGTGTAGTAAGAGATATTCAGTATCTCCATTATACAGCAAACGAAATACCTAAACATAACAACCCTTCTCTTCCAGCCAACAAATTATGGTGGCTGGACATGTCGGCGCTGCAGGGCATCCTCCCAGGGACGCTGTGGTGCGGGATGGGGGACCAGGCTGCCACCTACCACCAGCTGGGGCCTCGTCGACAGCTGGATTCCTGCTGTCGGGCGCACGACCACTGCCCCATCAAGCTAAGGCCCATGATGACGCGATATGGGTTGACGAATTACGGGTTCAAGACCATGTGAGTGTCTGTCTGTTTTCTCTGTCTATGTCTCTGTCTGCTTTCTCTGTGTCTATGTCTCTGTCTGCTTTCTCTGTGTCCTATGTCTCTGTCTGCTTTCTCTGTGTCTGTCTCTGTCTGCTTTCTCTTGTGTCTAAGATGTCGTCTAGCTTTCCCTTGTTGTCTATGTCTCTGTCTCTCTGCTTCTATCTGTCAGGCTGCTGCTCAGTTTCTAGCTTTGTATCTGTCTCTATCAGCCAGTGTGTCTTTATCTGACTGACTGTTTGTCCTTGTCTGACTGTCTGTGTCTGAATTTTGTCTTTGTCTGACTTGCATGTTTCTTCTTGTGTGACTGTTCTCTGTCTCATGTCTTCTCTCTTCTGTCTGACTGACTCTCTCTCTTTCCTTCTCCACCCTTCCCTCTCTCCCTCTCTCTCCCTCCTCCTCCTCTCTCCCTCGTTCTCCTCCCTCTCCCTCCCTCCCTCCCCTCCCACTCCTCTTCACTCCCTCCCTCCCTCATTAGTATTAATTCAAAGAAAAAAATAGAGGCACATAGATCTGATAAAGTTTAGGAGATGTTCATGCAAACTCCCCACACCTTTTCCTCACCAAAGTCCCTAACAAGACGCTCTCTCGCAGGTCCCACTGCTCCTGCGACCTGGAGTTCTAACCGCTTGCCTGAAGGCCCGCCGGGGACAGCGTGGCCACCATGGTCGGCCAGGTGTACTTCAACTACCTCAAGATGGAGTGCATCGACGTCCCGAGTCCCAAAAGCTGTTATTCTCCCTCCGTGACGATAAGAACCATCAACGTTTCCTTTCCCTCCGACACGGCAACAGTAGCTCCTCCTCCCCCACCTCCTCCCTCCTCCTCGACGTCGGGAACGAAGACGAGGGATGCGCAGGAGAGGACGAAGAATAAGAAGAATAAGAATAAGAGGAGGAGGAGGCCCAGGCTGTCCTGTCTCCGTCGGGATGGTGAAGGGGGCTGTCGGTTCTGGCTGCCCAATCCCAAGGGCTTCACGACGCGGCTGCAGATTGTCAAGACGACGCTAAACTTTTAGAGGGATGAGGCGGGTTTTTAGGATTTAGCTTTTTAATTATTTATCTATTTATCTATAATTATTTTGTTATTATTATTATTATTATTATCATTATTATTATTATCCATTATTATCACTACTATTGTTGTTATTATCGCTATTATCATCATTATTATAGTGGTTGTTTTTATTACGATTACTATTTGTACAGCCATACCAAATGCTATAGAAGGGACACTTAAATCCTTCCTTTATTCTCACGCTACCGAGAAAAAAAAATAGAATGACAGGACACATAGGCCTGTAAAATTTGGAATGAGATTTGAACCTGAGACTGTATTTTTAGGTTTTTAGAAGTCTGTGATAGAATTTTATGATTAGGACTAATGCTGTGAACGCCTAGGTACCTTTTAATGTATTATTTTTATGCATGTGTATAGGCCTAGGTAAAAAGAAAAGTGTCGAATTTTTATGATTGTTATGATTAGGACAAACGCTGTGAACGCCCAGGTACAAAAAATCATGTGTATAGGCATAGTTAAAAAAAGTCGAATTTCAGCATAAGCATAAGAGATGTGTTCTATTTTTAATGTGTATAGGCCTAGGTAAAAAAGTTAAATTTCAGCATAAGCATAAGAGATGTGTTCTATTTTTAATGTGTATAGGTCTAGGTAAAAAAAGTCAAATTTCAGCATAAGCATAAGAGATGTGTTCTATTTTTGATGTGTATAGGCCTAGGTAAAAAAGTCAAATTTCAGCATAAGCATAAGAGATGTGTTCTATTTTTAATGTGTATAGGTCTAGGTAAAAAAGTCAAATTTCGACATAGGCTTAGAAATGTGTTCTATTTTTAATGTGTATAGGCCTAGGTAAAAAAA